TTGCTGGGAAAGGTGCACGTATGCGATTTAGTCAATCCTCTGTTTATGCAATATTGGCACAGCCTCTCTTAACACCAGAGAGATACTTCCTCAAAAAGTGGATTGGACACACTGGCCAGCCCATATGTTTATTTCTGTCACAAAAAGAACCTGTAGGCTATAGAAGTCAGTAGGTCTCCCTTATGCATTTATCTTCTACTCTGTTTGGCATATTTGAGTTGCTTCTTGTTCACATTTTTAATACTTTAACTTGTTGCTGTACTTTGCAGATGTGGATGAGTGCAAAGAGAAGCTGGCCTGTCAATGCCCAGCATGTAAATGCAAAAATACCTGGGGCAGTTATGAATGCAGCTGCAGTGGTGGTTTACTTTACATGCGAGAACATGATACATGCATAAGTGAGTATATGCGGAAGAAAAACCTAATCTATTAATTAAACAAGTGTGTCATTTACTTCCTCATGCACTTTACATCTTAGTGCATTAAGTTCCTCTATGCTGATGCAGTGAAGTAGTTAAATATTTGTCAACTTGGTTGCTCTTTGAATTTGGGACATTGTGCACGTTTTATAGTATCTTGAATTCCTATTTTGGTTTTATGATGCCTGATTAGTGGCTTCCCATTTGATCCCTCTTGAAAACAAGCAGGTAAAGATGCCAAAACAGAGGTCAGCTGGAGCTTTGTTTGGTTTATTGTTCTTGGCTTGTCTGCTGCTGGTGCTGGGGGATATGCACTTTATAAGTACAGGATCCGGGTATGACTCTTAATGGACTAGAATCCTAAAATTGTTTCCTTGCGTTTATGTTAGGTTCCAGTTTACTGACAAACAGTTCATGTGAAGATGTGAATGCAACCACTAATCTAGGACAAGGCGATCCTAGTTTGTTTCTTCTTAGTGATCCTATGATGCGAAGAAGCAGGGAGATTGAAGATGCCTTGTAATAGGTCCTTAGAACTGCTGGATGGTCCAAGGGAATAAAACAAGGAGAATGTATGAAAAAGGAAGCAACACTTAAGCACTAAAAACATTTTAGGGTGAAAGAAAACAAAATTGATATTGGCTATGCTTGAAAACAGTTGAGATCAATATCCGTAGATGATTTTGAGGTAATCAGACAAATTAGAACATGGAAGAATTTTGAATCTCTAAAGAATTAGTTATGAATGTAGAGGTGCTGGGTTCCTTATAATTGCTAACCAAACAAATGCAATGTTTAGCTTGTGGATTTATTGACTAGGAATGCATAAGCAGTTAAATGTCTCCATCAAATATCAAAACTTGCTGGCAATTCTCATGTATGAACTGTTTTGCAGAGATACATGGATTCAGAAATCCGGGCTATCATGGCACAGTACATGCCGTTGGACAATCAACCTAATAATGTTCAACATGCGGAGATCTAAAATTAGGACGGTATATAAGAGATGCAAGATGAAGCAGATTAAGGATCATCTTTCCAAAATCCTTTTGAGTGCTCGGCACCAAACACCACATTTCATTCATGGGGTGTGATATCGTCTGCAATCTTTTGCCAGCTCTTTTGCTCGGTTAGCATTTTACTTTTTCCTCTTGGTTTATTTGGTTGGAGAATCTTGTCACCTGCTGTTAACAATGTAAATTTGAAGGTTTTACTGGTGCACATATTTTTAGTATTATCATAAAAAAATAATAATAATTTCCACCTTTTTAGCATTCCAGCAAATAATTTTTTTTTTAAAATATATATATATATATTTATAAAAAAAAAAAAGAAAAAGAAAAGAAAAGAAAAGACAAGTAAAGAGTCACTGGTGAGGGGGATTACTTACAAAGTTCAAAAAATTTTAACATGATCTTAAGGCTATAAAACTGATGTTATTACTTAAACAAGATATGTTCTTACGAGTATAAAACATTTTGTGAGTATAAAACATCTTGGGCTGCCTTCCCATGTCTAGAAATTGGATTAAAATTTTTTTTTAGGTTTAATTTGTGTGTGTGTGTGTTTATTCCTATTTGCTTTAGAATTTTTAGCTCAAATCTTTAATCAAGATCAATTCTATCATGGTTTTTAAAGGTGTTTTAAAATCAAATTTACCATAAATCTTTTTGTAATTTATGAATACTATTAATTCAACAATTTTTCAAATTTGAATTATTGTCTTTTAAAAGTTTAAACTTACATTATTAATAGTCTGTAACTTAAGCTTTTTAATATCAGATTTAAGTATCACATATATATATATATATATAATTATTAGTCATAGTGAGTATAAAATGCAAGAGAGGTATGTGGAAGTTAAACCCAATACGTGAGTTTATAAATGTATGATTTAATATATGCTAGCTATTTTGGCTTTTCTAAATTTTATATTGGGAATATGTACCTCACCTTTCTTTACTTTTTCTTCTCCGTAGCTTTTTTTTTTTTTTTCTCTCTCTCTCTCTCTCTCTTAATATAACCCCCCCTTTAATTGCTTATTGAGGTTTCTTACTAAGAACTTGTGATTTTATTTAGTTGTAGGGACTAGCTATGGTTTACAGGCCAAAAAAATAAAATGAAAAGTTCATAGAAAGAAATGAAGATCTAAGAGCGACATGAGTGTCTGCATCAACTTTCTATTCGTAACTATGTTTTACCTAATATTTATGTTAGCTTAAGTGAATTGTATTACGTATGTCCATGATCATCTAAATATTTAGTTTCATATAAGATGAATGTTTGATGACGATACTCTCTTACGTACAAGGTAGAGAAAAAAAAAATTAGTATTAATCGATATGATAACTAAAATATCGTAAACATTAAGTTTAAGTGATAAGGATATATAATGTCAACCATTAACTTCCATCATATGGATTTTCTAGGATCATTAAGTTTTATGTGATATCTACATGTCTTTTAAAATTGAAGCAATGAATATTTACTCTGTTACACATGAGCGGTCGTAGTAGAATTTTATGACTTTACCCTTCTGTTTGCTACTGATATTGGGGTGTTTTGTTTTTCCTTGACTTATACAAGTGATAAGCATAAATTGGCTAGTGAATCACTTAGTTTTTATATTATACTTTCATACTTTATTAGGGATTTAAAAGCAAAATACAAATCAAGAGTTTTATATGATATAACTGAAGATTGTTTTCTACTAGTGGACACCTTGTTGTCTGATGGAATCTTTATTTATCTTATTATGCATAATAATCTTTACCTTCTTAAATTATGAGTTTATCAATTAACACTAATTAGAGAAACACAATTAATTAAGTTTTGGATTCTTTGTGTGTATTAATAATTAACATTTATTATGTTATTTAATTAATCTTGAAATATATTAAGCTTGTTTAAAGGCAAATTATGTTTATAACTTTAATCAATTTTATAGCAGTTTAGAATTTAGAAATGATCTCATTCAACTTATTTTTCTAATCTTAAACAACCCGTGCCTGATGTGTCCTCCCAAGGATATTTAGTCCTTTAGTAAAAGTGATAATGATCCATTAGCTAAATGACATTTCTTAAGGAATAGAGTCTATTATGGGTTTCAAGCACGACAAGGATAAAACTAAACTAATGGAATATTTGGTTCTAGGATAACATAGATAACTTTGGGGAAGATATATTAAATAAATTTCTAGAAGCTTGGAGAAGACTTATAAGTTTGTACAATTTGGAGAATAACTTGTCGACAAACTCGTCATCCTTAATATTAGATTACTAGATGTGCTCAATGCATAAGGATTGAAAAATAAGCGATTAACAAAAGCAAAAAGAAAAAGAACCAAAGTTAAAATGCATAAGTACAATAAAAAACTTAACTTACAATTAAAGTACAACAAAATGGTTACTATGTAGCCGTAGTATCACATAAATAGACAGTAGTTTAACAAGTTGTTAGATTAGTTATGCGATCATGGTTACTCAATGACTACATTTAGACAATAATTTAAGAAAAAAATATATACTTTTTATTTAATATTAATTGTTTGGTCATGTTATATTGGAAATAACTTTACAAAAAAAATATTTATTTATTTACATATTGAAGAAATGGATGAGGATGAGTTTGATATCCATGCATAAACAATTAGTTATTCAGTGTATAATGACAATGAAAACAAGAACAAAGGATACCTAATTCTAAAGGACTAAAAAATATGTAAACTAAGATTAATAGAGTGCATAAGGATGAGTTTTTCAGACCATTTTTTATATAAATAATGTTTAACTTCTAAATAAAGTCTCATAGATAAAGAATGCAAGAATCCCTTCAATTGAAACAGAGAATAGACATCAATGAATTTTTAGATTTAGTACACATTGACAAATGTGGGATCCAATAATAATACCTATCAAGAATTTTTTTTCCCCTTATTTAATTACCTTGGACATTATAGAGTATAGCATATAATTTATACCGAGATAAACAAGTTGTATAAGAATAATTGTATGCTATATGTTATCACATTTCATGGAAAATTTGTTTAAATCTTTATTTGTTTAAAATAAGGAAAGGGAATTGACAATCTTGGGTTTGATCCATTTAACTTCTTTTTAGACCCAAACACTAGTTTTAAAGGAGGTTTCTCTTATTTTACAACCTTTATTGATAAATTCTCCAGATTTCAATATGTGTAAATGGAGTAAAAGTTCAAAACTATTAGAAGTTTAAAGAGTTCAGGGTGAATATTTAATAATGAATTAAAAGAAGTATTAAAACTCTCTGATATGATAAAGAATGAGAATAATTGAGTAATAAAATCTCTTAAAATGAACTCCCTTGAGAACACTTCAATTAAATGGCATGTCAGAGAAAGAATTGTACTTTATTAATAAAGTACTATCAATGGTAAGTAATATCACATTCTTTATATTGTGTAAAGGGTTATTTCCTAATGACTATTATGTACATACTGAATAAAACTTTAACGAGACAATGCTTAAGGCCTAATATGAGATGTAGCATAACAGATTAAGATTTAGTAATGTCTCACTTTTGTAAAACAGCTAGAAGAAGAAATTCTCAAGGCTAAGTCAAATAAGTATTTATTTGTAGGATATAAAATTTTTTTGGATATTACTTTTATAAACCAATAGGAGGAAAATGCTTCTATCTTTAAACATCAATCATTTATAAATGAATGGTTCATTATAGATGGGAACAATTGGAGTATAGTTGATGAATTTCAAGAGAATGCAAAAACATCTATTCTTGTATGGAGTCTACCCATGATACAGATTACTCAATCTCAATTAAAGCATATAAATATTTTATTGAATGAGGCCATTCAGAGAAGATGAGAACTTAACGACTTATCTTGAGACAATAATAAATATCAACTCAAAAAAATGGCAAGAGATAATAGAATCTAAAA